TGCCGCTGAAACACCAGCAGGCGGCTTTCGAGAACGTCTACCTGAAGGCTCAGGAAGGAATGAGGCTCCCAGTGAGTTCATAATGTGCTCTCATAAATCAGTAATAGTTTAGTGTGTGTGTGTGTGTGTGTGTGTGTGTGTGTGTGTGTGTGTGTGTGTGTGTGTGTGTGTGTGTGTGTGTGTGTGTGTTCCTGATGCTTGCTGTGTGTGTGTGTGACGCACAGAGGAGCAGCTCTGCAGAGGGGCAGCAGGACGAGGTGTTCAACAGGAAGGCGGCGCTGCTGAAGAGTCTGTCTGTGGTGATGTGCTGCAGCCCCGTTTGTGAGAAGCAGTCTCTGTTCGCCCTCTTCCAGTCCTACAAGGAGAACAACATCGAGGAGCAGCTCATCAAGAAGGTACAAATACAGGGAACTGTGCATTGGGGAAATGTATTAACAAAAAATAGCTGATTGAGGTTTTAAGGTGAGAACTTATGGGGAAATGAAAACATTTTTTACAAAATAATAATAATAATAAAATATGTGCGACTTGGTCTAGTTCAGTGCTTCTCAAAGTGTGGTCCGCGGACCACTGATGGTCTGTGAGCGCCCCCTAGTGGTCCGTGAGTATATTGGTAACATTTCACATTTTAAATAAATAAATACATTTAAGTTTTCCGCACTCTCGTGGGAATATCTCCGCAACGGAGCGAGCTTGAGTTTCATTTTCACAATTGCCTGATATAGCCCAGCGCAACACCTTCGTCACACCTGTTGCCACGATTTGTAATCTGTTCTAGAAAAACGATGTGTTTTTGGATATTTGTGGAGTTAGGTGGTCCGTGAGTGTTTTTTTATTGGTTAAGTGGTCCTTGGTATGAAAAAGTTTGAGAAACACTGGTCTAGTTGGACAAGGCAGTGTAGGCCTCTTGTATACCAGCACTGTAATTAATTAATTAATGTTTCTACAGTGAGTTGAATCTTATTCATGCGATAATCCGTTTTTCAGCATCAATTATAATATTAATACACTACTTAATATATTGTGTTTATATTATACTAATTTACTTTCTTACTTACTTATTAAATAGTTGTGCCAAATATTGTAACATCCATATTGTGAATGGGGCTTTGCATCCCTTTGTCTGACTTTTGAGTAAGCATATGTATTAGTTTGAGTTTGCTTTCATGCAAAACATTGCCTTATAAAAATGATAGGTGATCTAAGTCCCATGTTCCTGTGTTTGGTTTCCTCCCAGATGTTGTGCAGTGTTTCCAGAGCGCTGGGCTACAGGAGCGTGAAAATGTTTGTCAGCTCTCACCTGTACTACCTGGTGGCTGAGTGGCTCGCGCAGAGAGAGTCTGACGATCGCTACACCCTGGGATCCTTCCCCTTCACCCTCCTGGACCACAACGCACTCCAAGAGTTCTACAAGTGAGTGACTACACTTCTGTATTTCCGCATTTTATACACAAGAACTTGCTCACGGCATAAGTCCCTGTCGTAAACACTTAATAACCTTTGAAAATCCTTGTGTCTCCTTAAAGGTCCTCCTACCAAGTGTTGATCCCCCACCTGGTCTTCCTGGATGACTTTGAGCAGGTGAAGTCAATCGGCAGGTACCTGGAGAAGGACTGGAAAGAGCTACTGGCAGACTGTTTCCCTAAGATCATGGTCAACATCCTGCCGTACTTCGCCTTGTCGGGCCAGGATGCTCAGGTGGCTCAGAAGAGAGAGAAAGCTCACAAAGTGTACGACCTGCTCAAAGACGCCAGCTGTCTGGGTAAACAGGTAAACACAGCCGTTTAAAAGAAGGCCCTGTTAGGGGTTTCGCTTTCCTGTAGAGCAACGGTTCCCAACCTGTGGGCCGTGGCCCCCTAGTGGGCCGCGAAGGCATTGCAAGTGCCGCCAAATAATTTGCAAAACATTATGATTTGTGTGGAAACATTTCATTATTATTTTTTATTTGAACCTCCTTTCCTTTCTCTTTCTTGATCCTCCCTAGCAACGGTCATTACAGTCCTTGACAGCATTCTGTACTACTGGATTTACAACGTGTCACATGTTCTGAATTGATCAATCAGAACTTTATTTAGCCTCCGTATGGTTTATGGTTGAATGTGGGCCGTTAACATTTTTTAGATTCTTATGTGGGCCCTGGGTTGAGAAAGGTTGGGACCCGCTGCTGTAGAGTGTTATATAGGTTCATGTAAATGGTCTGTAAAGGCGGAAATCCAAAAGTTAAGCAACAAATTGACTCACGCTACACATTTTTCTCCATGTTTGTTCCTGTGTCTGCAGCAAATAGACAGTCTGATCCATAGTAACCTAGCGGACATAGTGGTGGAGCTGCTGATGACTCTGTATGAAGGAAGTGAAGAGGAGAAAGGAGACCTGAAGTGCTTCATAGGGTAATGGAAGTTCAAATATTTAATGTATTTCTTCATTCGTTTATCCCTCATTTACCCCAGTGTTGATAAAGTTAATAAGTGTGTCTTTCTATAAATCGTAATTAACATCTGTTTAATGCCTCTCAGTGAACTGGACCCCGTACCAAACCCACCGTACTTCAGCTCTTATGTGATTAAAGCGACACTGGACTACCTCAGCAAGTGTCACAGCGCAAACCACAAGTCTTTGGTCGCCGTCTTGTCAAAAACACCGGTAAGACTTTTCAAAATGTGTAACTACACGTCTTTTAGGACCTGTGTCCAGCAGGTGGCTCTTTCTGTCAGTGGTGGAAAGACCCTGCTCCGAGCGTTTCATCGCAAAATACACTTCACCTCCTTTCTTTTCATTTATTTATTTCATACTATCTTTTATAAGATATTATACTTTAATTTCTTACGTTTAGATATTATTTTTTAATGTTATTCTTTTGATTTTATTCAATATTTTATTGTTCATTCCTCCTTATGTTTATATAATATTCTATTTTATTCAACTTCTATTTAATTTCATTCTAAAATTAAATGAACTGTCACAAAATCCGATTCCCCGCTGAAACAATAAAAGTAAAAGCTCCAAAACACAGACGCTAGCACCCAGAAAAAGGCACTATAGAGAGGCGAAGTCCCTCCCTTTCCGGGAGACCTCCATGGGACCTTATTTCAGAAAGAGTATGTATTGAAATCACTGGGGAGAGAAAGATTATCTTTGGATCCCGTTTGAATTGTGCCACGAATTACACATATGATGTTTGTCAATTTAAAAGATACATTTTCAAGTAAAAAAATATAAAACTACTGAAGTAACACTTTTTTTGTGTGAAACCGCTCAATGAACTACATCTCCCGTCTCGCACCACACACCAAGACGGCCGTCACGTTGGCACATTTCACTTCTTTCTTTCAGAATGAGGCGGAAAGTATTAAAAGAGGTGAAAATCACTCCAAGTCTGGGCACGTTGAGAGCTGTACATACACACAAGGGGAGT